CGCATTGACACTGCAACCGTTTTTGTTGAAACCGCTCAAGAGGAGAACATTCCCATTCGCGTGATCATTGTACCAACAATAGCTGCCCCCCTCACTACTTACACTGGTGCCAATGTAAGGGAACTACCACACTTAAAGGGACTGTCATTAGCACAAAACGTTGATGATTCACCTTTCACAGTTGATATTCTAATCGGTGCAGATCATTATTGGGACATAGTGGAAAACGAAGTTGTCAAGGGTCCAGGTCCCACAGCAGCCAAATCAAAGATAGGATACCTCCTTTCGGGCCCCCTCTCCAACAGTAACCATTCAGAGAACCTAAACACGTCTATTTTAAATGTTGTGACTGAGCATCATCAAGAACAATTTGATTTGGAACGTTTCTGGCGGATTGAATCAGTTGGTGTTCAGCCAAGCTCATCAGAAGAAACGGTTGACTTTCTGAAGTACTATCAAAACTCGTCTATCATGTTGGAGGATGGCCGGTACAGTGCAAAGCTACCCTGGCGACCAGAACATCCCCCTCTACCATCAAATGCAGAAATCACTAAGCAGAGAACCCGCTCCATGGTCAGAAAACTAGCTGAAGATCCTAATAAATTACGCATGTACAATGACATCATCCAAGAACAACAATCTCGCGATTTTATCGAAAGAGTGGACAATCCAGAAACAACCAACGGGTGTGTCATTACATACCTCATCACGCTGTTCTCAAGGACTCTACCACAACTCCTCTACGCATTGTGTACGACTGCAGCTTCAAACGAGGTGAACAACCCAGCTTGAATGATTGCTTACAGCCAGGTCCTCCACTTCTCAATGATCTTACTGGTATACTTCTACGCTTCCGTCTCCACCAGTATGCTATAACTGCAGACATTGAAAAGGCATTTTTACATGTAAACCTAGACCAAGCTGATCGAGATGCCACGCGCTTCTACTGGCTATCTAACACGGATGACCCGGAGAGTGAATTCATTGTCTACCGATTCAAGTCTGTCATGTTTGGTGCCACAAGTTCCCCTTTCATCTTAAATGCCACTCTCAATAAGCACCTCACACAGTCTACAGACCAAGTCAGCATGGATATGTTAAGGAATCTGTATGTGGATGATCTCGCCTCGGGAACAAACGATGATGATTCAGCAGTCAACTATTACCAAGATGCCAGGAACAAAATGTCACCGGTGGGCTTCAATCTCAGGTCATGGAGTTCAAACAGTCCTGGTGTTCAACATATTGCAGCCAAAAATCAAATCCTCGACACTAGTCCAACTAAAAAAGTACTTGGCATGGTATGGGACATAACTTCAGACACGCTACGATTCTCATGTAAACAGGCAACCTCTACCCCCCGTTGTCAACCAAGAGAGAGGTGTTACAAGAAACAGCAAAAGTCTTTGATCCACTCGGCTTACTTCAACCAGTCACCGTTGCGGCTAAGATTCTAATACAAGAACTGTGGAAGGAAGGGATTGATTGGGACGAGCCCCTTCCACCTTCTCTTGATCAAAAATGGCGTGCTGTAGCAAAGGAGATTGGAGATGCAACCAAACTTGAGTTCCCACGTCGCTACTTCTCTTCTAATGTCTCTGTCGATAGCAGCGATACAGAACTACATGTTTTCGCTGATGCAAGCCAGAAAGCCTATGGAGCTGCTGCTTACTTAGTACGTGGAAACCAGTCATCGTTAGCTATGGCGAAGTCGCGTGTTGCTCCGACAAGGAAGAAACTCACCCTTCCAGAATTGGAACTTATGGCAACTCTAACAGCCGCACGTTTAGCTTCATATCTTCAAGAACAACTGCCAGTTACAAGAGTCACATTGTGGTCTGACAGCCAAATTGTTCTCCACTGGCTCAAAAGCACCAAGTTGTTGAAGCCATTCGTCAACACTCGCATCCAAGAAGTAAAGAAGCTGACATCAACTTCAAACTGGAAGTACTGCCCTACAACTGAAAACCCCTCCGATCTTCTCACAAGAGGGATAACAGCACATCAACTAGAGATTTCCTTGCTGTGGAAACATGGTCCCACATGGTTACCAAACAGATCCCAGTGGCCTTCATGGCCTACGACAGAGGTTCTTCACTTATCAGCAACTGAAACCTCTCCTGGTGGGTCTACCACAGACGGCACAGTCCCAGTTCAACAGCAAGGCCTTCATCGCCTGATCAATCCATCGGATTTCAGCAGTTTACCAAAGCTTCTACGTGTTACAGCCTATGTTTTCAGATTTGTAAAACTTCTCCAGAAGAAACTTAGTCAACAAGGCCCAATTACAGC